GTCGAAAAGATTGAGCCTCCGAGCCCTCCCAGAGTGTAAATACACCAAGGAGAATAAATCCCCAAGGGAGGACCCGGATTGCCACCTCATTCTTCCGGCCCTGTCTGCACTCATTATCAGTTATGCGCGTTCGGTGTTCAGTGGTAGTAATAAAGTGCATTTGCTAAAGACCTGCAAAGGATTAGGAGAACAGGTTTATTAGAACAGTGACAGAATATAATCGGGGCATGATAAAAGGTGTCTGAGGGAAATACAGATGTCGAAGGCCAGGCGAGCCAAGTTTGGCATGGGTGTCGAAAGGTTGCATTCGCCAGAGGTTTACTGTGCTCCGGATAGTGGTAAAACCACGTCCCCGGCTCACAGCACTCTCACCAAGCCGTGCCGAAGCAACGACTGGCCGCAACACCCTTTCGGGATAGCGGGGGGAATATACAAGCATAATCTCAGAGAGCGCCGGGAGAGCGCTCGCACAGCCCGCTACCGTATAGGTCATCGCGGCGGGACCCTTGGCAGGTTGCCAACCCCTATTATCCCAGGTAATTCATCCTCGAAACTCCTAGGAGATGAAATCTCGTAGGAAAGTTTCGACACTCCCGGCCCGCGCAAGAGCCAGAAAGTGCCGCCCCGGTGAGGGAGCAAGGAACCTTACGAGGGGAGGTTGAGTGGGAGCCTCGCGGCGGCCCAAGAATTTACAAACAAGTCCGCCCGGCTCGGGGGGAAAGGTTGGGGTACAGAGGGACCAATAACATGGTAGAATATGTTCTGCACTGTGGGGGCGGGAGGACGAAAATTGGTTAGATAAACGCTAGGGGAGGGGGAACTGACAATAAAATAGTTGGTCGGCGCTAAGGAGCCCGTACTCCTGCCGAACCAACTGGGGAGAGGGGAGGGGATGACTTATCGGATTTTCGGCAGCGGCTGGCGTGTAGTGGACTTGAGGCAGGCTTGTGGCACTTCGCGTCGATGTTGTCTTGCGAAGTGTTGTCGACCTTGTACTCTTGCATCTTGCGCAGCCAGTCACGTGAAGAAGTTGGCGGGCATGGCGAAGGTTCCGAAGAACCTTGAGAGGGTGTCGAGTGGTGGTGGGGAGGAATCCTCTCACGAAACCTCCTTGTCACCATATAATGTCGTAATGCAGTAAGGCGGTGACGCGAACTTAAGTGACGTCTCGGCGGTGACGAGTGTCATCAGTCGGCTTGTCGCGGTGCGGAGGAAAGTCGGCGCGTCGTGCGATGGCCTTCTTGAAATCGAAGTCGAAGTTGGCGAAGTCACGTCAGGGCGGCAGCATGGTGTTGTCGCTGGCAGCTTGACGGCGCGGTGGATTTGAAATTGTCGCAAGTAGTCGGACGAAGTGGTGGACTTGTCGACCGAACGGCTCGCGGCGGCCCAAGTAGTACTGGAAAATGGCGTGTAGGCGCTTGGTAGATGGCGCATGAAGTCGTGCAGGAGTGTCGGCTTCATCAAGTAGCGACTCATCTCGCAGCAGTCGAGAAGCCAAAGAAACAACGAATGCGAACGGCACGGCTACCGCACCCCATCCACAAGTCGTTGTTCTGGAGCTCGGAAGTTTGAAACGGCATCGTTTGATTGAAGAGGCTTGATGGAGCTTCTTGTCGAGTGAAGTCGTGCTTGATCGCTTGCGTGTTGAAGCCTTGCATCCGGCTGTTGGTGGCGCAACGGAACTGCACTGTAGTCAGGGCAGCAGCATGAAGTTGTCGCTGTCGCTGTGTTCAGGACAAAAGCAGCAGCAGAAGCGATGAAACTTGGCAGTTGAAGTAGACCGCGGCCCATGTAGTATTCCATCAGCTTGGTGGAAGAAAAAAAGCATTGCGGCGACTATCGATGTCGACAGAGTTGTCGCGCTTGGCGCGGACAGCTTGAAGGATTCCTGATATGCAGACTTGTCGATCCAAATGCTCGCGGCGGCCCAAGTTCTGTGAGTGGATACGCCGGAAGTCGATGAAGTGGAAAAAGTAGTAGTGACCGCAGCGAATGTCGTCGCCGTTGTCGGGCATGATGAGGAGGCGGCAAGAATCATCCTGAACTTGAGCTTGACTCGTCCTTCCAGTAGACGAGGCGAAGTTGTGGATGCAAGTCGGGCTTGTAGACGGAGTGAAGAGACGAGTTGCGCAAAGGCGATACCAGCGCCGTGTTGCAACGCGGGCCAGCTGTCTCGAAACCACCGTCTCACAAGCCGCTTGATTGTAGAAGTTGTTGTAGGCGGCACCTCGAGGATGGGAAAATTCTGAAGCCAAAGCAGAAGAATTGCGAAGCGTGAAGCCATGTTGTTTCAGTGACGTCGCTCAGATGACTTGGTACGGCGGCGCATGTGTCGCGACCGCAGTCGAATGGTGCAGTGGCAACGCTCGGATGAGATGTTGTCGGCAATGCATGGAGCGCGGCAGCAGAATGTCGTAGTCGCGCTGCTCGTATGAGTTGTTGTCGGCGGAGCATGAAGGGCTGCAGCATGAATGTCACAGTGGCGCCGCTCGGATGAGATGCAGCCGGTGTAGCTTGTAGACGGCAGCAACGGAGGTATTCTTGTAAAGCGTCATCGCGCAGCTTGATGTAGTGCACGTTGAAGCGATCAGCTTGAACGTTGTAGCGTGAAGCATCTTGTCGCGATCATGTTGTAGAACAAACACAGCGAGTTGACTGTCGTAAATGACGCGGGAGGCTTGTGAAGTCGCAATAACTGGCAGGCTTGCCAGGTGTCGCACGCTTCCCACGAGTGTCTCTTTCTTCAGCACGATGTCCCGCAGCAACAAAACTGAGCATATTTTTAGGTAAAGAAAACCTGAGTAATCGAGCAGCAATCAGTGGCATAAGACTCGACTCGATGATGTTGAGGAGTCGACCGAGCCGCTGAAGCTGTTGGTGAAACTTGGATTGTTGTCGGGAAACCGGTGGCTGTAGAGACAGTCGGCGCAGCAGGTGCTGACTTTGTCATCATCCTGAAGCGAAGTCGACCATAGCGGCATTGTCTGGCGGCCGCAGGTGTAGAAGAAAGCGGTGTTGTGTCCGCATTGTTGCACAGCGCGTCGCAGCTTTTTCCAGAAAGTATCTGAAAAAAATATCCCGGCGGCTTCGCAAATGCTGGACTGGCAGGTGTTAGAGTCGCAGGCAAATTGGCGATTGGCAGCAGGGCGGCTGTGTGGACAGCTTGATGATGAGCGCGTCCTTCTTGTTGCATGTCGCCCATGATCCATTCCTTGTGCACGAACGTCTGGCGAAATGTAGAAGGCACTTTCGTGTCGTGACAATCCGATGAACTGATAGGCGCGCTCGTTGTCAGGTGGCGTTCGAAAGCAGCAATAGACGAAGCATTGGCAGATTCTTGCTGACGATCGTCGTGGTACGGGTGTCATCAGTCAATTGGTAGGCGTGGAGTTGACAATGACGCGGCGCAGCAGTATTGGTGGCGAACTTGCTGTCGAGCTCGATGTCGTATCGCAGCCTGAGGCGTGGATGTTGTCGAAGCATTTCAGCAGTAGTCGGCGAGCGAGCAAGTAGTCAGGCGGCGGCGAAGTTGATCAGGCACAAGTTGATCATGTGTCGGTCGCATTTCCGTGAAATGTGTGTCAACCAGCTACCGATGTCTCGTCCCGCCGAAGAAAAAGTAGTCGCCTCCGATAGCGTCAGCAAAGGCTTGAAGTGTCGCTACGCTCTGGCTTGCCCATCGCCTTCGGCTTATCTGAGAAGGGAATTACCAAATAAAACCTCTTGAAATGAGCGGTGTTGTCTGGCCAAAGCGCAGCTGGAACACATCCTTGCGATTGCTTGTAGATCGAAAGCTTGATCGAGGACTCGTCGCGTGGCTGATCATAGCTTGAAGTCCAATCATCATATCGGCTTGACGACGGTGGCGCTTGTAAGTCCCATCCAAACAGAAAGTGTCGCGAGATTGTTGGCTTGCGCCAACAGCCCTTGACAGCAGTCTAATCGAGCCACAAAGCGATGTCGCTGGCGTTGAACTGCATGCAGAATTGTAGAGCAATGAAGCATCTCGTACGGCAGGAGGAACATGTTGTAAGTGGTCGCAGGCATCAGACGGTCCTTGTAGTGGCCAATGTACTCGCAGAGAAGATCAAAAGTTGGCCTTGGTGTCGCAAATCTTCGAATGGCGCGACGAATGCTCCAATACAGCTGTGAAGCTGCAATAGGGCATCAACACGTCTAAAGTAGAGTTGTTATAACTCAAACAAAACAAGGCCTCAAACAATCTTGTTTGAACAACGTTGTTTGATAGGATTTTTGGAGATTCAAATCAAACATGTTTTGTTTGAGATGACCGTTGATCGCTCAAACAAAACAAGATTGTTTGAACTATTTGAGCAGTTTGAGTTTTGTTTGACCTTGTTTGAAATGTATGCTAATTTTGGATTTAAAGCATGATTTTTCAGCATTTTCGCAATTTGCATAAATTTTTTCCGGTAGAATTTGTTTTTGAACGTTTGAATTCACTTCCGATCCATCAAAAATCCCCAAAAATCTCACCGTTTAGGGCGCTCAAACAAGTTCAAACAAGTCAAACAATCTTGTTTGATTTGATCCCCTGGAACTCAAATCAAACAAGGTTGTTTTGTTTGAAACTTTTCGAGCTCAAACAAAGCAAACTTGTTTGAGTTGTTTGAATAATTTGTTGTTTGTTGTTTGAGTTATAACAACTCTAGTCTAAAGGAAAGCTTGCGCAAGACGGTTGTTCGGAGTAGGATGTATCGCAGCCTTCGAAGATCGTTGTCGCCTTGTCCGTGTCTTGATGACTTGAAAGGTGATCATGTAGATGGCGGCCGCTAGAAGAAAATTGACTTGTGCAGCGTTGACCTTGAGTTGCCGGTGTCGGTGCCAGCGTTTGCGGGCATTCGCATGGCTCATCGACGGGCAGGAGAAGAGATCCGCTTGACGTTGTTCCCGAAGAGGCTTGATGTCGCGAAGGTTGGTTGAGCATCAGCAGTGTGAGGTGCCAAGCGATGCGTGTAGCGGCCACCAGGAATGCTGTCATCCGGTAGAGGAGGCTTTGGCACGATGGTGTCGAAGAAGCCCATCCTTGTCCGGAAACAGTGGCGCAGCGCGGCAAGAGACGAGTTCTTCCGTGTGAACGTGTTGTTGTTCCGCATGTATGTCGCACATCTCAAGTCAGCGCGATGGAGGTGAGGGCGATTGTCGCTGCTGAAGTTCGGCTGGTTGCGTGGCGTAGACGCTTGTACATGTGCTCGTTGACGTATTCGAAACGATTGTGCAGCAGATGTTGTACTGAGAGGTAGTAGATGTCGCGCCGATACGTAGTAGACATCCGCATGTACCGCAAAAAATAGGCGGCGAAGTCGAGAAAGGTCGGAATGCCGATGATGCTGCAGCGCCATAGTCAGTTGTCGTCTTCCGCTTGAGTCCCAGCAACTCGGGTGGATAGTCGGAGTCAGCGTGTGGTTCCATGAAAAGTACAGGGGTTGTCCCTCTTCTTCGTGTTCAGGAGTCGGAGTATGCAGCGCGTAAGTCTCGCTGCCATACGGCAGGATGACCTCCTTGCCCTCGTACTTCGGCTCGTAGAGGTCCTGAATAAGAGATCGTAAAGTTGGGTCTCTCATCTTCGGCTCGGTGTCGGAGTATGCAGCTCGTAAGTCTGGCTGCCAAACGGCAGGGTGACCTCCGTGCCCTCGTACTCCGGGTCGATGAGCTCTTGAAGGAGAGATCGTCTGCCCTGGTTGGATCCGCTGATGACTGTTCCGAACTTGTAAAAGTCGAAGATTCGTCCCGAAAGGCAAGCGGAATAACGGAGAGGTGACGTCGCGAAGCTCTGTAGAAGTAAGCAACGTTGGCGGCGGTGTCGATTGACAGGTGAACGTCGTGGAAAGTGACGACCATGTGGATGATGGATGACGTTGTCGAACAGCAAATTGTGGCCTAGAGTGCAACTGATGATCCGGTGTCGCCAAAAGGTAGAGGCGAGAAGCAGCGAAGTTGCTCGGCATGCAGCTGTCCTTGCGCCAGCTTGAGTGTCGCCTCACGAATCTCCATTGCCATGTGTCAGTTGTCGCAAACGGCAACCTTGGAGTACCGTGGTGAGCAGCAGTAGCAACCACGGCATTGTCGAACATGGCAGAGAAGGCTTGCAGTTGGCGCAGCGAGACGGAAGTTGTCTGCGTAGCTGGGCGAGTAGGCGAGCAGCTTGGACGCGTGGTGAGCGAAGAACGGCGTGAAGCAAACTCGTTGTCCGGCATTGTGAAGGCGAACGACGAACATCATCCGCGAGTGGTAGATAGTTGGCGAACAGGGGCCACGGGGCGGCAAATGAAGAACTTCTGCTTGCTGCCTAGTTGTGCCATTTGAAGAGCGCAGAGAGCTGGATACACCACATCCGCAAAGCGCAGTAGATAGATGACGAGTAGACGGCCATTCGGCAGCAAGTGTCTCCCGGAAACAGATGTCACATCACCACCATGTGTCTAAAAAAATGTTATACAAAGTAGAGATAAACTCTAAGTTGTACAACAGGCGAAGCGGGAAAAACAAAAGTGAAAAAGCCAAATCAAAACCTTGAGAAAACAATAAGAAACATTTGAAAAAACGAATGACAATACCCGAAAATTAGTCGAAGTTCGCGAACGTAGAAGTTTTTCGGGCAAGCAAACGAAATTTCAAAAATTTCGAATCGTCTTGGCCAACCTTAGCGACGAATCGTAGGTGGCGCTCTCAAAATTTCAAAAATAACTTTACTTTTGCACATCCGTTTCGATTCATCGAAGTAGAATGTGCGGTAGTAGATGCTTGGCATGTCCATCGAGCATTGGGCGAAGGGCAACATCTTTGAGCAGCAACTTTCTTCCATAGAGCAGCTTCTTGAACCATCAGTGGTTGTGGAACACGCGGCAGGCTGCTTGATGTCGAGCGGAAGTCGACCAGACGTTGCACGATGTGAAGCCGAATGTCGGGCGGCATCAAGCCAGGTGTCGAGCGGCCAAAAGCCAAGTGTCGCTTGGCGTAAAGCCGGGTGTCGGGTTTGAAAAACTAAGGAAGATAAACTTCCAAAGTGATTCAAGGTGTCGCACAAAAAGAAAAGTAAATAAATGTCAACGCGTGTGCAAAAAGTATTTGTACAGCAAGAGGAAGACGCGGATAGAAATGTGAAGCAATTCGGCGAAGGGTAGAAAGAAAAGTGGCTTTGTTCGCTTCAGGCGGTCCATGCTTCGTTTCTTGCCCATCGTTTGTAGTCGTGTAGTCGCAATCTTGATCAGCTTCTTGTGCAGCACGGGTTGTCGTTGAGCGCGCGTCGCCATCGATGAGACCTTGTCGAAGCGCAGGAAGAGCTTGCGATAAAGTGTCGAGCACCGAGGCAACGAGTGTCGATTTCTTCTGTGTAAACGCCCGATGTCGTGAGAGAAAGTCAGCGCCTAACTGCAAATTGATTGGCCAGTAAAAATTGCAACACCAACAGCTTTCTCAAGGCTGTGGGGCAATATCACCTCGAAAAAAATTGTCGTAGTTGATGAGAAGTTGGTGCACATCACTCGGCTGAAGTGTTGAAGCATCGGCAAAAGTGTAGAGTGAGCGCATATGTAGATCGGCCAGTGTTTCGAGCACGAAAACAGCTTTCTCAAGGCTGTTGGTGTCGAAAACACCTCGTAGAGGGGTGTCGAGTGTCGAAAAAAACTTGTGTCGAACGGCAAAAAGGCTTGGGCAGCGCTTGGTGTCGACTTGAAGCTTGTAGGCTTGTAGTCGAACGAAGTTGCATTGATGGAAGCGCCCATATTGTCGTCGACCATTTCGCACACTGATCACGCCATGTCGCCCGCATCCTTCTTGGGTAGATCGGGGCCAAAACGTTGTCGATGCTTGGTGAAGAGCGCCTCACAGCACGTGGAGCGAGGCCTTCCCATTCTCTAGAGCACCGCAACCGCCAGCGATGACCATTGGACACGATTAAAACTCTTTTCGCCCTGGAAAAGACAAAAGTAAAACCAAATAAACCTTTTAAAATGCATCCGATTGCTCCACTCGCTTTTTCTTCTAGTTTCGCAACGGCTGGACGACATTAACTTCCATCATTCCTTGGAGAAACTTCAGCTATTGCGTCTCACCCCTCCCGATTTCTTCGGGCAGCATCGCATCCATAGCTTCCATTAGTCCCTCTCCTGATTTCCTCTGAAAAACTGGCTCAAAGAGCCGAGAAATTCACTAACACGGCAGGCAACCAAACGAATGTTAGGTTGTTGCCCAAAGCTTACCACAAACTTACTAAACTTCATCAAAGCGACCAGATTCCATAAAGCTTGAATGCTCAGCAGAGGGCCCCAACGAGAAGGAAGGTGTCCGCGTACGTCAGACCAAATGTCGGTGTCCATCCATCGCAAAACACTGCTGGCCGGCAGTGGTGTCGAAGAAAAAACGAGTGTCGCGGGGTATATATCCGTATGTCGAGGTTGAGCAGGTCAACGGCAAAAGGCAAATGACGAGTGGCCCGGTGATCACTACGGCTCGACTGCACCATGTCGAAAAGATTGAGCCTCCGAGCCCTCCCAGAGTGTAAATACACCAAGGAGAATAAATCCCCAAGGGAGGACCCGGATTGCCACCTCATTCTTCCGGCCCTGTCTGCACTCATTATCAGTTATGCGCGTTCGGTGTTCAGTGGTAGTAATAAAGTGCATTTGCTAAAGACCTGCAAAGGATTAGGAGAACAGGTTTATTAGAACAGTGACGGAATATAATCGGGCACATGAGAAAAGGTGTCTGAGGGAAATACAGATGTCGAAGGCCAGGCGGGCCAAGTTTGGGAAAGGGTGTCGAAAGGTTGCATTCGCCAGAGGTTTACTGTGCTCCGGATAGTGGTAAAACCACGTCCCCGGCTCACAGCACTCTCACCAAGCCGTGCCGAAGCAACGACTGGCCGCAACACCCTTTCGGGATAGCGGGGGAATATACAAGCATAATCTCAGAGAGCGCCGGGAGGGCGCTCACACAGCCCGCTACCGTATAGGTCATCGCGGCGGGACCCTTGGCAGGTTGCCAACCCCTATTATCCCAGGTAATTCATCCTCGAAACTCCTAGGAGATGAAATCTCGTAGGAAAGTTTCGACAAGTAATAACGATATCAACCTCATTGCAGGGTGTTTCGGGAAGAAGCGGAATCCAGCTTTCCCCACAATTAAAGCCGGCCTCCAAATTTTTCGCGAATATCGCTAGAAAAAAGCATACGAAGCCGGCGAGCATTTTGTATGATCGCAATAGCTGAGAAATACCAAAAAATGTATTTTTTTTCGCGTGAAAGCGAGGATAAATCAAGTTTTGGATTTTTACGAATATTTTACGACTTTCTTTTGACGATTTTATCGCGTTACGGCGTTGGCTGAATTTCATCGGAATTTGTTTATTTTTCTTTTTCTTATTCATTCTTGTCATTAAATGTTATTGATTATTGATGGTTTATATTTTTGAAAGGAAATTTGACGACCAGCTATAAACAATTTCTTTATTTCATATTACTGTAAAAGACAATCAAAATCAGGCAAATTAAAGGCGGAAGTTGGCGCCTGGCATTAAGAAAAGCATAGAACAAAAACTTTAAAGTTCGAGGTCGACATTCGGAGTGTCGCCAAAGCTGCAAACTTCCCAGACGCAGCACGACTCGCACAACTTCGTGCCCGACGTCTTTTTGTCGCCGCCGGTCAGCTGGAAGTCGAAGCGGCAGAACGGATGCTCGGGAAACACGTGAAGGCTGCCGGACTACTACTAGTATCGCTCATTTTAAAACAAATTTTTTCCCAAGGACCCCCCACCGCTTCGCATTTTCCACACACCATGTCTCTCCACCACACATATGGAACCGCGCTTTGCTTACGGTTCTTTGTCTGGGATAGTCTTTACAAGTTTTTCTCGACCCCTAGTCGACATAAATAGGATACAGTATCGTCGTTGTTACCCATAATATGGAGACAAAACCATTCAAGTTTCAGCATCCCTGTTCGATTTTTGTTTTCTGTCAATCCCTGGGCGGGAAAACGACATGGACATTCAAATTTATAAAATACATGCCCGAAATTCTCGAAGGATACACAGATATTCACGAGATTTATTATTTTACGGGCTCAAAGACTGAAATTGAAGAGAAATTTACAGAATTACCACCCAATTTCCACATTTTCGATGGACCCCCAACCGATGAGCAAATAGCAAACATGAAAAATTCTCTTGTCATCCTGGACGACCTAATGCTTGCTATGAAAGAAACAACAATGTCGATGCTTACTTCCCGAATAACACATCACCAAAAATGTACCCTGATTTTCTTGAGTCAAGACGCTTTTCGAACAAAAAGAACTTCCCGTGTCAATGCAAATTATCTGGTACTATTGAGATCGGTCTCTGACCTTTTGCAAGCGCGTCAAATTGGGCTACAATGCTTCCCCAACCAATTTAAATATTTTTGGGACAGCTATATGGACGCGACAGCAAAACCGTACCAATACTTAGTAATCGATTGTCACCCAAAACTAGAAAGTAGAGACGCACGTCTTATCACCGACATTTTTCCGGATAAAAGGCAAATTTTTTACCTACCCCAATAGTCTTAACAATGAAGAGCGACACACAACCGTCGCAATGGCAAATTTTTCACAAACTTTACAAAAACCCCAGAATGACTCTTCAAAAAGCGTCAAACCAAGAAATACGCAACCTGATAGAGTTTATTTACAACCTCACCGAAGGTAATGTTGCTCTGTATAAATACGAGAAAAAGCAACTCGAACCGCATTTGAAAACTTTGGTCGTCTTGGGCAAACTTCGGAACTTTGCACAGGCACGACAACGCCTTTTGAAAAACAGTACACTTTTGCAACTCCTAGTCGGCCCGGCTCTTGCATTAGAAAATGAGCGTACCGGCGAAAAACTTTCGGAAAATGATGTTGGTTCCATACAATGATCAACCCCAACAAGGAGACGGTTTTTTCCACAACGCGCGAGAGCAAATTGTAGAACAAGCTAAAGAAACGGAACAACAAATGAACGATATACTCCAAAGCACACTTCCCAATGACCTCAAAATGCAATTATACGGCAAATTTCTAAACTTTTTGACAAATCTCATAGCGGAAATACGAAAATTTGATCCTTTGCCAACACACACGTTAAAAACACAACCGATACCACAAACAAACTCTACTGAAAACCAACCTAAAGTTACGCAAAAAACACGCGGTCCATCAAAAAGAGCACCTCGAAACCCTTATCAAAAAGCTTACGA